TCCCCTCCAGCCCCAGCGCCACTTGGACTCGCCCGGAACCTGTTTGCGAGCCTACTGTATGAGCGAGCCCGAGGCTCGAGCCGAGCCGAACCGAGCGCTGGCTGTTCTAAACACGGGCCGTTCCTAGCGTATAGTTCAATGACTTTGACGAATTTAATTGAACTGGGATGCAAGTTTAATCGCGAACTTTTTGTGCGTGTGTGTCGTGTTGGAGTTGGTGGCTGCTAGACGGTGCCGTGGACCTAACGCAAAGGCCTGGCAGGCTAGAAGCCTGGCGCAGCCGCCCTCAGCTCCACTCCGCTCGCCTGGACTAAAGAGCAGGAGACTAAAGTGGATGTTGTGTTCGAGTGATGTGTGGGTGAAATCGTGGTGAAGCCTAGTGCACAAGGTAAATTTCAGTGAAGTGCAGTGGAGTGTTGTGGTGAAGTGTTCTGTGATCTGATGATGTGGAAGGAGGCCAGTCAGAGTCAGAATGAATGCCACGAGTCATCTGGGCTACCCTCAAGAGTCTTCCCAAAGTTTTTAAAATAGTGTGAATCGAATTGAATTGTAAGAGGAAGTTTACGGGACGATCGAACGAGCTAGCTTGTACACCCAACTAAATGTGAGGTTAGTGGCTGCCCGACCGCCTGGAGTGTGTCCGAATTCAGCCACCGACCGAGCACCGACCGGTCGGTGGTCGAGCGGTCGGTCGTCGAGCGGCCGGTCGCGAGCCGCTCCAAGCAGCTATGCCAACCGCGAACCACGAAGTCCTTTCGCTGGGGATGGTTGCGGATCGCGACTACCCCCGCGGAGGACCCGCGGAGGACCCGCGACGATCCCCCGCGTAAGACCCGCGCCCTACGATCATCCCCCGCGAAAGGATTTCGCGGTTCGCGGTTAACCCAATGTGGACAGGGTGGCATAGCTGCTTGGAGCGAGTGGCTCGCCACGGCCCGGCCACCGACCGCCCGACGACCGACCGGTCGGTGCTCGGTCGGTGGCTGAATTCGGACACACTCCTGGTCCCAGGCAGCCAGGCCCTGCCAGCCAGCAAGGGGCAAGCACATCTGAGCCTGAAGCAGAGGCCACCAGTAGAGGTTAGGGAGCTAGTGGCTTGGCCAGGCATCTATTAATGTAACAGAAGACCTATTGGGGCACCAGGCAGCTCTCTGAGAGCTCTCCAGGCAGCCGTCTGAAGTACGATCTAAAAACCTTTGTGTCGCAACAAGCTATCAGCATTAGCGCAGTGAAAACATAATTGCGATGGATCTTTGACTATGTTTGAAGAGTGGGAGATTGCTATTTCAGCTGTTTGGTATTGTTTAGGAGGTCATAATTGTTTGTTTTGTTAGGTGAACATGTTTTAGTGTGCTCTGAAACTTGAATCGTTTTCTGAAGGAAATGTGGAAGAACTGTTATTACATTTCAAATATTCGGAACAAATAAATTAAAGTGGTGATAAATGTTCATTGAGGGCTCCTTAAGCACTGGTTTTGTTGTGGATGCTGTCCATGCACTTCAAAAAGACTTCTTTTCATTTGTATAAAAAATTGGCCAAGAATGAAATGGGAAGCATAGAGTGTAGGAAGTATTCAGAGCTTAATATTAGTGTACAGGACTGTTGACTAAATGCAAGAGATAAAAATTAGCTCCAAATTAATTTTACAGTTTATAACAATGACTCCCCCCCACTCACTGAGTTGAATCCTATTACAATGTTCCCAAAATTGTCAAGGATTTAACTCAGGACACAATTCCTTGTTTCTCGCGCCAGTTTACATTAGCCTATCAGACGTGACCTTCTTGTCTAGTGTACAGCTATTAGAGGTCATGGATCATTCTTTGTTATTTTCTTGTAATCTATTTGAATTCCTGTAGAAGTTTTTGCTGTAAGAAAACAGCTCAGTATTGCTATTTACCATTGGTTCTGCTCAATAGAAAGACAAAGAAATTGTTAAATGTTTTAAAATCTTTGCTGGAAGTTCCTCTAAAGAACTCACAGTTCAGAAAAACTTGCATAAACTCAGTCAAACTCAGAGAAAGCTTACTTGAAATCAAAGTGCAGTTGATTTTTTCCCGCTTTTAAGTTTATGCTGCTGATCATCTTGTAGCTCTTATTACATCACAAATTCATTTTAGGGCATTGTGATTTAGGTGTATCTTAGCAGATGATACATGGGAAATAATTGTTTTTCAGACTGTCTCTAATATTTGGTTTACTTTGTTTCAGCTGTCCTTGAATGTGTCCAAGCATTCACCAGAGCATGATCATAAACACTGGAGGCATGACGGGGGAAAGGATGGTGTTACTCAGCTAGCACCCCCGTTACCATGGCCTCCTGGTGCAACCTTCGCTCTCGCAAGAAGAAGAGATAAAGAAGATATGTTCCTGCTCAGAAGCTCGCAACAAAATGAAGTGCTTAAAAAGAGTGCTTTGTCAGTGATTTGAAGTTTTCCCTTTATTTTAATTTTTGTTTTGGTTGGGAAACCCAGTGAGCCCTTTCCCACAACTTTTTTTTTCCAACCCTACCCCTTTTTCCAAGAAGAAATTTTGTTTTCTAAGTTGGCTCACAGTGATACATTGTGTGAGTGTGCGGTGGCACCTGGTGCCCCCTGGTCGCCAGTCCGCCTGTGCGGAGCATGGAAACGGTGCAACAGACCGTGGTGCACCTGGACCATGGTGGTATACAACAGCCGTCTTCCATGGCGTACGCGCAACGCCCGTCTCAGCTGCACAGGTGAGTCAAGTTAGCTAAAGTTAAATGTATCTTACTACTTTCTTTCTGATACATGATATCTAGGCCGATCCTTGAACTGAAGACATGCACGTTTCGCTGGTGTAGATATTTTTTTGATTTTGGGCCGTATGGCCCGTACCACACCAAAGACTAACATTCTAGTGCGAGTGTTCCTATTAGTGACACGAATGATGCAAGGCTCGGTGCAAATGTGCGCGCACGCGAATCTCGAAGGCATGCCATGTCGAGTGATGTATCTATCTGTCTATTTTGTTGAGGCTCCGCTGGTGAAATCCACTATCGTTGCGGGGTTCGTGAAGGACTTTTACAGAAATTGTTGGGGGGGGGGGGGCTTGGGGCAAACCGATGCTATGCTGCTGGTCGGACCGAAGTAACTGGTGTTCTGGAGGGGCTATTAGGCCTGCCTTGTACTAGCTAGCTATGCCAGCCCCGTTCCCCCTGCGGGATCCCTCCGGGACCTGCGACCTTCTGCCTGGTTTCTGTTTGGGGGGCCGTTCACAAATGGGCAGTGTATGTAGTAATTGGTCGTTTCTTTCCCTGCTGGGCCTCGCTCCCGTTATGCACCTCCCGCTCGGCGGGCTTACACTGTCGGGCCCTCGGTGGGGTCGGGCCGGACCCGGGCTGGATCGGCCGTTCGAATCGTTCGAATACTCCACCGTGGCCTTCTGTTCCTCTTTTCGTCGCATCCGCTGCCTACGGGAAACGCGGGTCGCGGGCAGTTACTATCACCGCCAAAAAAATTAAACCCTTTCGTCTAGGAAAATCGCCGTAAGAGGGGTTTAATTTTTGTTTCGCTGATGGGACAACATCAGGCTTTCGGCAAGAGTTTGAGTTTCTCGAACAAGGCGTGGTGCAGTCGAGTAGGGAGGACGAGATGTGCGTCGTGACGGTGGCGGGGGAGGAGGAGGGTGGCAGTGCCAGGAGGGGGGTCGGGGGTGGGCGAATTGTCTTCCCCCTCTCTTCTCATCCGGCCGCCATGTCCCTTTGCCTCCTACGAAATTATTTTCGCGACCCCCCCTCCCTTTAGCAATTAAAGAACGGGAAACGAACGGGCAGGGCGAAATATTTGGGCCGGGCGATTGGGCCCTTTTGTTAGAAACGACCAATAAGCGCGAAATGGCACGGGGTGGACGGAGGGTAGGGAACGGGGTGGCGGTCGTTTCGCCATCCGCCGGAGCGCGCGGGTGGCGCTGTAGTTGTGTAGTTTTAGTGCAAGCCCTTCCTCTCTCCAACTCCCCGTGTGTTGGGCCGTTGCTGTTGTGAGAAATTTACGATCGCCGAGAAAAAAAAACAGCGCACGGGGTAAAATGTTGATGCCGGACTGAAAATGTTCCCATACAGTTCTCTGTCTGCACAAAACTGGTGTTCCTTTGCAGTGCTGCGGTAGGGGAGGGGCCGGTCAGTCTATCGATCTGATCAGCACCCACACTGTCTTACTCGGCAACCCTTCCAGCGTGTTCATACGTATACTGCGTCGCCCGCTGCCCATTGCCTTCCCTTACAAAGTGTTTTGCCGTGCTCCCGATATGTACAGGCCACTCTTTCGTGGGGTTGTTATTCGGCCTGGCTCGGCCGGGCCGGGGCCTCTGGCCTGGCTCGTTGCGTAATTTTGCTGTGGCTATTGCCATCGCCCCGCCCCGCGCCCAGGCCTAGGCCTAGGCTCGTGCAACCTTGGCCCTGGAGTCTTGTACACGATATGTACCATGGCTTTTCTCTGCTGCACTGTTTCTCTCTTTGTTTTTGACGGCGCACTTTTGTAACTCCGTCAACGTGCTCCTCGTGGCCGCATTGCGAACTGCGCGACGGCGACACTCACGGCGCAGCCGCACCGGGACGGGCCGCTGGGCTGGGCGGCCGCCGTGGTCACCACGATGTAGAAAACCTCTCCACGTCGTGGTGGTGATGCGCTCGCTCTGGCGGTGGTGGCCGCGTTGGTCGCACACCCGACCGCGCGCGGTGCGTGACACGGGAAAGTTGACTCACCGTGAAATGATCTGGAAAAGGGGAAAATCACGGTGGTCGTAGTGATGCTGGTGCGTTGGGCACAGCCACAGCCACACTGTGTGCTCGCGCAGTCATGTGTTCATTTTTGCCGTTCCTTTAGCCAGCTGTTCTGCTTTGGAAAAACTTATCGAGCGAGCTGCAATCGACCTGGTGTCTGTTTGTCCAGTTTTGCCTGTCTGTGTGACAAGCAGCAGATGAGCTAGCGAATTTTAGGCTGCTAAAAGCGGAAAGAAATCTTTTTTATGGTCTTCTATTGGGTAACTCGTCAAAGTAGAACTCTTTAGGCCGTAATTTTGACCGAACGCCGTTGGCAGGTCAAGCCTGCAGGCCCGGCCTCTGCCGAACCGAGTTGCCTTCGGCGGAGCGAAGTGAGGCTGGAAACTGCGTTTGGCGAAAAGGCGGCCGTGCTTGTCGTAATTTTTCGCCATAACCCATTTCTTTGGTATATCCCGCGAGAGATGCGTCGGGAGGAGCCATTTTTCCTCGAATAGGATCTGATACTCCAGACATCTCGTTGAGCCCACAGAGGGTTAGGTTGTCACGCTGTGACGCGCGGCGGAATTGTTGTCCGTCCATCTGAGCGGCTTACCGAAAGCTGGCGATGGCGCTGCAAAGGCCGTGGCGATGGATGCGTTTGTGCTGCTGGGACGGTTGGTGGTGTGGTGAAGGCTCTGGTCTCGCCGCGAGGGCCGGGGCCTGGGCCGCGAGCACCCCGAACAAGTTGGACGTCCTCTTCGTCCTCTTGTGCCCGCCACGCTTTCTTTGTTGTCGCGGGGCCCCATTGTCGATACTACAGCAGGCCCTCCCCCCTC